TTGTGACCCCGGCGTCGTGTAAATAATTATGTGCATGCATATCTACCTGTTCTCATTAGATATCATTTTTTTTATTATTAAAATTATAATTAAATGTTTATTTCATAACCTATTATGTAATAAAAGTTTGTATTTAGAGTCACCGTAAAATGTTAAAATAAAACTTCGATTTGAGTTAGAATAAGCAAAATTAGCATCATATATGGTTAAAATTTATTAAAGATGTAAAAATAATAATAGATCAATTAATTAATAAGTGATACTTACAAAAATTTCTACTTTTTAATAAATAGTAAAAAAATGGGCATGTTAACTTTATCTTTAGAAAATTCCAAATTACCTAAAGAATTATTATTATTATTATTATTATTATTATTATTATTATTATATTATAGTTACTTTAACTAACAGTCAAAAGGCTTTTTATTAATGTACAAAAACTACTTAAGGACTTGATATTTTTTAAATACGAGAAATGTCAGCAAACTCTATTACTGTAATAATAATAGTTATTTAAACTGACAGTCAAAAGATTTATTTTAATGATAGCAAACTTTACCACTGTTATTAATACTCTCTAATATCATATTAAAATTATATATTTTAATAAATTCTATTATTAAATTTGAAAATTATTAAAAAAAACTATAATTATTATTTTTTAATGCAAATGAATATCAGATATTTTTTTCTGTTTAATATTATCATTCTTAAAATATCTTTTTTATTTAATTGATACTGTATTATTGATTTTTCTTTATTATTCTTCATACTAAATTTTAAAGGAAAATTTAAAAGCAATTTTAAATAATGATGTATGTTTACAATTATAATGAATTAATGTTTTTGGTTTATATTCAGAGGAAGTGAATAGGAAGATAAAACTTCTTCCTGCGTTGTTAAAAGGACATCTATTAAATATATATCTAAAGATTAAATTAGTGAAAAAAATGTTAATTTTTTAATCGATTGAAATTTATTAAAAAATAATATTTAGTGAGGACTCACTTTTTTATTTTTATAATTCTGAATAATAAAAAATTAAAAGTGTATCAAAAAGTGTACTTTCCAATTCCTCCAAATTCTAAATTAGTGAAAGATTAAACATTTATTGTTGACGTGAGAATGAGTTGACCAGTTTGGAAAGAGAAAGAAAGGAAGAGTGGTGACCTGTGTATCATAACCGTGAGGCAGAAGCGAGATGAAATTATGAGCATGGGAAGCTTTTGCAGCCTCCACCACCTGATCATCGGTCGCGTCCTCTTTGCCAAAAAGTATGTTCTCTTTAATGCTGGTCGCGAACAGAGCAGGCTCCTGGCTCACCAACCCCATCTGCGCCCTCAGCCACTTGACCTGCAGCCTCTGAATCCCCACCCCATCCAACCGTATCTCCCCCCCCACTGGATCATAAAACCTCTGCAACAGCGCTATCACCGTTGATTTCCCTGACCCACTCTCCCCAACCAGCGCCACTCGCTTCCCTGCGGGGATCCTCACGCTAAGCCCATTCAGAATACTGCTATCTGGCCTCGAAGGGTACGCGAACTCCACCCCTTCGAATTCCACTTCCCCGTAAACCCTCTCCAGAATTTCCCCATTCCTGTTGTCAGAATCTATGTCGGGAACCCTCTTTATCACTTCTTTTATACGCTCCGCTGCTGAACCCGCTTCCGAAAAGTACTTCATGTTCGATAATGCCACTCCCAATCCCCTGTTAACACAACTTAATCATGATTAAAATATTAATCATGCAATTAATTAATTAATTAATTCTATACTAGGTTAAATTAATTAAAGGCGTGCCTTAATTATTATTTTAAGCTTTGTGACAGCATGTCAGTGATGACCAAAATAAAAAAAATTACTGCCATGAGTTAATTACTTACAGTCCTCCAACAGCGAGTGCTGCGCCAACCGCGAAAACTGTCCCTCCTTTGACGCCATGATAAATGACGAGTCTGCTACCGTAGTAGCACATGAAGGACCAGATGGCGAAAACGACGCCGTTGCTTCCAATGGCCAAGCCCTTAGCCAGGCCTTGTTTGAGGCCCAGCTTAACCGTGCCTTGAAGCGCGTTGGAGAAAGCGCTCAAGGTCTTGCTTTCCCCCACAAAGGAATACACCGTTCTTATGGAGGAAATCGCTTGTTCCGCCACTGTTCCTGCGACGTTATACTCGTCTCTGATTTTGCAAGACAACCCCATCAGAGTCTTCCCGTAAATCAAACCCGGGATCACGAGAAGAACCACGAACGGAAACCCCACTATGGCAAGCCTCCACAACATCGCAAAAGCCGCTATGTAGCTTCCAACGAACAAGGATATGTTCATCAAGAAATTCGGAACCTACAATTTCACGTATATATATGTAATTAATTATTATTATTATTATTATTATTATTATTATTATAAGCGAAATTGAAACTAAGGTAAGTAATAAGATAAAACAACAGCGTACCTTCTCACTAAGAACATCTTGAATTACGAGGCTGTCGTTGGAGACGCTGGTGATGATCTCTGACGTGCTTGTGACATGCAAATCAAAGTACGCAACATCTTGTCTCAGCACTGCTTTCAGATACCTGTGTCTCATTCGCGCAGCTTGTCTTTCACTCGTTCTTGTCCAACAATAACCCTCTGAAAATAATATAATTATATCACCACTTTAACTTGCGTGGAGTGAATGGAAAGAGAAAAAGAAAAAGCGGAATCATTGCATAACCCGAACTCACCGAGAAAGCAAACGGCAAAAGACGCACCTGCCAAATATAACCACGCCACCGCATTCTGCATCAATGTAAAAGCCAAAATAAGTTACTAAAAAGCTTCTCTTTCGTGTTACGTTAGTTGTTTCGGTGTGTAGAGAGAGTAAGAGAGAGAGAGAGAGAGAGGGAGAAGGAATTGAACCCTGTCGATGTTATGGATGAAAGTGTGTCCATCCATGTTAGAGGAACTCCCAATGTTATTCATCATGCGGCTACTGATAAGCAACACTAGAGGGGTGGTTAAGCCTTCACCAACAGCCCCAATGGTACCTACAATCATAAAAAACCAATCTTTGCGATCGGCATGCATGAAAATTGAGCCGTACCCAGTAGACCCAATTTTCTTGTTCTTCTTATCCATAGCTACACTTTCCCTACCCATTTTTTGACACACCCTTTTCTAGCAAACAGTGAGATTCGTACTACTCTAATAGAGCATGGTTTCTCTGCATGCCTTCTTGGCTTGCTTCCAAAACCAGCTTTTGTTTCATGGCCTTGAACTATGTTGTTGCGACATTCTGATGAATTTATAGGAATCAGTGAGGGTTAAAGAGTGGTGGGGCAAAACAAAAACTTATAGGGGCCAGAATAGGGTCAGGGTCAGGGTTGGGGAATTCTTAATAGCATGTGCAGAGGTTTATTGTGTTGTTGAGGATAGAGGAACATGTGATGTGAGGAGGGGAATTTGCTCCTGTTTGACTTTATAATTATCATCAAACTGATAAAGCATCCGGACTTTTTTCACAGCCATATATATATACTACTAATACTTTTATAAAAGCATTTTCTCATCTTATACAACTTTAAAAATTATTTCCCAAGATATGCCACTTTTACTGCTTTTGCTGACACGATTCTCTCTTTTTTAATAAAGGATCGGTGATTTTTGGCCCCTTCTTTTATTCATGTTGAATACGTTTTTCTTAAAATTATTTATTAAGTTACGGCTGAACTGACTTTTCTATCAAACGAATCCTTTAACACTAAGCTTAAGAAGAACCCGTCACCTTTAAACTGTTTTCAATACCCATCTTTAACTGATTAACTCATTCATAACGTATAAATATAATATTGTAAAATTTTATTTAGATTTTTAATTTTTTTGTCGAGATGTGAAGTTATCAATTAAATGTGTAATTTTCTAATATATATATATATATATATATATATATATATATATATAAATAAAAGAAGAGATATATATACACCTATAACTTTTTTTATAATGTTAATAATTTTATATTAAAATAAATTTTAGCATGATTGCTTTTGCATTTCAATCAAATCAATCCATGTCATTTGGAAACAAGAAATAATAGTTTTTACTTAAATTAAACATTTCAATGTCGAAAGAGAAGAAAAAATTACAATGCAAAATGGATTCCAAACACATACTTTATTGATCTAATTGTTACTATGTTACACTATTTAATAACTTACTTTATTAATCTAATAATAGTATACCATTTAATAACTTTTAATTAGATGATAACTGCAATATTTATTATCTACGGTAACACCTCTCCGGATAATTAAATTGTATTAAATTATAATAATGAACGATTTTTTGCACACTGTTGTATAGTTTCTTCTTTTTTAAAAAAGTTAGACAACATCTCAAAACTGTTTTCTTAAACTAATAGACAATGGTTAACTATTTTTTTTAACCTTTTTATACACCAGTTATAAACCATCATGTGTTTATTGATAATTAAATATTAAAATAATCGTTCTATTAGACTTTAAGAAAAATCAATTATGACAATGTTCTTTGAAACCTTTTTCTGGGTTGTTATGAAAACGTAGTAAGCGCTTTGTATCAAAGTTTTTAAGGGAACAATCAATTATAGTGAAATATATTTGATGTTATTGGGCTAAAAATTGCGGGTTTGTATTTTGTAAAAAATAAAAATAAAGGAGCTGTTGTGCTTTTCATGTAATGAGGGTTTGGATTTTGTTTCTACGATTCTAATTCTCTCATTTAAAGCCATTAGGGTTTTGACTCCACTCTTTTCTAACACTAATGTTTCATTTGCCTCTTCGAACATGTGTTGAAGAACCGCAAGCATAGGAGCAGGTTGTTGAGGATTGATTGAAACAAAGCTTTGGAACTCTTGTCGTTATAGTAGCGTTGTCTTGAACTCTCGTCGTTATACTAGTATACTAGGGTGGACTCTCAACCCAATAAGTTTTTTATTTGATGATAATCTTGGTTGTTTAATTTTTTTTTTGAATGGATTGTATTTGTGTGTGTCTTAATTGAGTGAGATGTTTGTTTTATGATGTAATTGTTGTCATATGTATTGTCACGAGTTTAATATTTTAGGGTAGTTGATGAATTGTATTTTGATGCTTAGGATTCACAAATTTGATGTTTGCATGAAAGAATTCGTGTAACACTGTTGAGCTTTTTTTTATTATTAATTGTTGTTTTATTAAATTATGTGTTGGGGGTGATTTACTGTTTAAATTGTTTAATTATTGAGAAATTTTCAGAATTAAGAATTTTTTATGAGTTTTAGCTGTTGAAGAGTTTTTTAAGTAAATGTTAAGTTTGACCTATTGAGATATAAAGTTTCTTTTAAGACTTGAAACTTAAAAAGATAGTCTAGAGAGAAGTGTTTTAGAGTTGGTAAGATTCCTTTTCTTCTACTAACTCCCAAGAGCTTTGTAGGATTCTTCCCTTGAGAGTTGTCATTGTTAGTTGATGATTCAAGGCTATTAGAGTTGAGAATTGGAGTGGGTGTGGTGACGTGTAGAGTTTCTAGAGGAGCTCATTTTCTTCTTCCTTCATCTATTTTCTCTTATAGTGTATTTGGATAAAGAATTTAAATGGAGTAATTCATTTATTTGAAAATTTTCAAATTCGTTGAGGTGAAATACCTTGTTTGGATGAAGAATTTATAAAGAATTTGAAATTCAAGCATTTGTGAAATTGCTTGAAATAGTAGAATTTTAAATTCTCCCAAAAAAGTGAAAATTTGAAATTTTTTATATTTTTTTTTTCTTATTTCACTTATATATTTTATCTTATCTCTTCTTATCTCTTCATATTTTTAATTATTGAATATTTAAAATATTTTTAAAATTATTAAATATTATCTAATATTAATTTTTAAAATTATTAAATATTTAAAAATTAGTTAATATTTGTTTTTATAAAATTTAATTTAAAAATCTCAACATATAAATATATTTTTAAAATCAATTTTACCATGGTGGAATCAAATTATCATATCCAACCCAATAATTTAAAATTTGAGAAATTTGAATTGACTTATCCAAACAAAATATTTTAATAATGATATAAATTGAAATTAAAGTAATTCAAATACCAAGAATTTAAAATTCCTCATCCAAACACACCATTAGAGTTAGGGGTAAGGCAAACTAGAACTTGATTTTTGTTGATCTTTGAAATTTTATGTTGTTGGATTACATTGCTATGTTGGTGATTAAGAAATTGAATTCTTGAGTTGTGCGGTTTTGAGAGTCTTTGAACATGTTGGGGGTGATTTTGAGTGAACGATGATCATTTCTTTGTTGCTTGTCATATTTTTATAGTTATAAATGAGTTGGATATGTTGTGTATGTGTAATTTCTACCTTTACATGTTGGAAATTCCTCTGTTTAAGGTGTGGAGAGCCAAATTTGTGAATCTGCTAATGTAGACACTCAATTTTTTCTAGGGTACCCAAAACAAGGCAAGAAGACTTTGAATGTCCAACGTGACATTAGATTGTCCATATTACCCGGAGCTTATTAGGCTATTTTTGTGCTTCGCCTTGAGAAACAAAGGAATAATGTAATTAGTGGTGAAAGGAAAGCTCATAAAGCTTGATGGACCAACTTTGAAAGAAGTTGCTGGGCTGAGTGGAAGGGGGAGCAAGAGACCTCTGCCCACAGGAGCTGAGCAACTGATCTCCAAATGGTTTGCTGACAAAGAAACCCAATACTACTACTTTGAATGGTATGCGGGTAGGAGAATCATTCCTCCAAAGACTTTGAAGTTGGAGTGGTTCAAGAGTGACGGTTTCAGTTTTCCTCCTTTCGTGGAACATCAAGAGCTTGGGAAGTTCTTAGAGCTGGAAGGTCCATATTACCCGGAGCTTATTAGGCTATTTTTGTGCTTCGCCTTGAGAAACAAAGGAATAATGTAATTAGTGGTGAAAGGAAAGCTCATAAAGCTTGATGGACCAACTTTGAAAGAAGTTGCTGGGCTGAGTGGAACAGGAAGTATGAAGCCTCAACCTTTCAATTTTGGTGACTTTGAAGAGCTGAAAACCTTTAGGGATTGCCAAAGAAATTTGGAGACCACAAATTACAACAAATTTTTGGCTGGAGGTATGAAGAAAAACTCTAGATTAATTTCTTTTATAATTGCATGGAGCTTAAACCTAGGCTTCATAATCATGCTCAAATGTCTAGAGATGATATTTTGTTGATGCATGTAATTAAGAAAAAGGAAAAGATAGACTGGGTATCTGTTGTCAATGATTGTATCTGGAAGGCTAGGAGAAAGGAGGATGGTCCTATACCCTATACTTTATTGCTGTCAAGAATATTTGAGAAGGCAGGAGTAGATCTTCAAGGGGAGAAAAAGATAATTCTCCATGCCTCAAACAAGATTGAAAAATCTTCTTTGCATCATATGGGGATGCTAAAACAATAAGATAAATGGGTATTCAAGGGTGATGTTCCTCCAATACCAGAATCGGCAATGGACGAAGATGGAGTTCCATCTCATGATGAGGAACTGCCACCTCAAGTGGAGCTTGAACCAGAACAAGAGCAAGAATCGGAACCTAAGGCATTTTCTCTGTTTGAACAAATTATGATAAAAAAGCTTGATGTTGTCATGGAAATGACAAGGAAGCATGAGTCACAATATTCAAGCATTCTTGATCGGTTTGATAACCTTGATCATAAGATTGCAAGAATTAAGGCTCAACTTGGGATTCAAGATGATTCGGAATGATGCGTTTAGGATTTTTAATGTTCTATTTTTAGGAGTTCTAGTTCAAATTTTAGTTTTAAAATTTCTAGTTCAAAATTTCAATTTGGTTGTAATGATTTTTAATTTCTGAACATTTGAATTTGGTTTAAATTATTTTGGTTGTTATTGAACGTTTTAATTCTGGTGCAATTTGAATTTAGTTGTGTTTTTATATTGTGTTTTGGTTTGAGCATTGGTATGCATTTTTGATTGAATGGACCAACTTTGAAAGAAGTTGCTGGGCTGAGTGGAACAGGAAGTATGAAGCCTCAACCTTTCAATTTTGGTGACTTTGAAGAGCTGAAAACCTTTAGGGATTGCCAAAGAAATTTGGAGACCACAAATTACAACAAATTTTTGGCTGGAGGTATGAAGAAAAACTCTAGATTAATTTCTTTTATAATTGCATGGAGCTTAAACCTAGGCTTCATAATCATGCTCAAATGTCTAGAGATGATATTTTGTTGATGCATGTAATTAAGAAAAAGGAAAAGATAGACTGGGTATCTGTTGTCAATGATTGTATCTGGAAGGCTAGGAGAAAGGAGGATGGTCCTATACCCTATACTTTATTGCTGTCAAGAATATTTGAGAAGGCAGGAGTAGATCTTCAAGGGGAGAAAAAGATAATTCTCCATGCCTCAAACAAGATTGAAAAATCTTCTTTGCATCATATGGGGCTCGCACCACACGCTAGCGGACAAATTAGTAAAAA